AGTTAAATATTTTTACAATAACATAAAAAGTTTATGAATTAAATTCCTAGCGAACGCGTTCTAAACTACGTATCAAAAATAGGCTTCAAAGCAGACAAAACTTTTTTATATTTTTATAAAACGCAAGTTGAAACGCTTTTAAAAATTTAAAAATATTTAAAAACTTAAATTTTTCTTTGCTAGTCAAAACAAAATCATTGTTTAAATAATTAACATGGGTTTGTGTTTATCAATGTTAATATTTTTTGTTTACTCTAGAAATTTTTAAAAATAAAAAAAATCATTATTTTTTATTCAATAACGATTAAAAACAATTATTCAAAAACAAATTTCAGAAATAATTAATATATATATATATATATTTTTTTTTACTAAATAATATTGAACTAAAATTAATAATAAAATAACAATTGAAAACATTACAAAATTTTCATAATAAATTTATATTTAAAACGTTTATAGTTTATATTTGAGTTAATTGTTAAATTGAATTAGTTTGCGGTTATTTATTTATTGCGGTAGTTAAAACACTTAACGCCTATAAAAAAAATAAAGATAATTTTATGACGTCAAAATCGCGTTAAGCTAATGCATTAAGCACTTTTTTATTTAAAACAAGGCCTGTAGTTATCCTATTGCTCATTAGTTATGCAATTAAATAACTTTATAATTTTTAAAGGTATCATGCCTCCTAAGATAAAAATGATGCTTATTGGCAATTTAAAAAAGTATATAATCGCTAACTTTACATTGGCTACCAAAATGAGCATTGATTGTAGAAATGGGCATATACTATTTATATTTATTAACAACGGAGAGTTATTTAATAAAACTGTTGCACAAGTTTATGAGCATTTTAGCATTAACACTTGCAAAAATCAAATCCAAAAACTTTTTAGTGTAGTAAAAAAACGGTCTTATAAATTTTCAAGAAATGCCACTAATGTAGCTGACTTTTGCAACAAGCCATTTGTGTTCCATGCCCTGGTGCTGACAGTCTCACAGTCATTGCCACTTACCTCTAGTCCAATTGATACTGTTTCTTGTTCTTCAATTGCATCATCATAAAATATCAGTTTTATATCTCCAGTAAGTAGTGCAAAGCTAACTCCCACAAGCAATAGCAAAAATAAACAAAATCTGCATATTTTACAAGAAAAAATGACTCTTACAAAAAAAAAGTTACAGAGTTGGTTATTTTATTTGACATCACTATTAGCTAACTCTTCTAAAGAACAACGTTATAAGATAGCATTATTGAAATCTGAATTGAACAACATGCCCTACAAAATAAAAGTTTAAAGACGTTTAAAGTTTAAGCAATTAAAGTAAAAAAGAAACTATAAAAGCTTCGAGAGCTGGAGTTAAAAACTTGAAACAAAAAATTTAAATCATGTTACTGCAATAGGTATATTTACAATCTTGTAATGAAAAAAAGGAAATGAAAATTGAAGTTAGAGAACAGCTAAGACAAGTAATGCTCAAACATAATACTGTTAGTAGAGAAAATAAAATTGAAATTGCTAGATTAGAAAATGATATGACCTAAATGGAGAAGGTTGATTCTATTGCTTCAGTTACGTCAGGAGATAATAAAGCTTACTAAATACAATCTAGAATGATAATCTATAGCATTTTATTGTGTAATGTTCCAACAGGTAACATTCTAATCCTATTGGAAAAAACCGCACAATATTTTAGTGTTGGTTTGTTGCATATTCCCAAGCGTATTACTGTGTTCATATTAATAGTGTCCATTTAAGGTCAAAAAATAAATGTCAGGTCATTGCTTTGGACCAATTGCTTGGATTGTCTGATTATGATGAAAATTTAATTATAATTGTCTGATGATTATGAAAAACATATAGGTAATGCAGTGGATAATATGGCTTCAATTTATTCCAATTTTCAACACTACTGTATTTTGTAACACAACTGCTATAAAACTGTGTATTCGTGGTTTATTTGGAAAACTTCACTATCTTAAATTATCACAGTTTATTTGGAAAACTTCACTATCTTAATTTATCACATTTGATAGCAATAAATTAAGATAGTGAAGAGTTGATGGGTATGTTTAGTGAAGCTAAAGGGAGATCCCTAATCCAGCTATTTGTTATATATCTTGCAAATTGCGATTTAAAAAGAATATGACTAGATTATCTTGATAGTCTTGACCAAATAGAGAGAGAAAATGTAGTTAAGTGGTCTATTAAAGCAGCTCGTATAAAAAGAATAGCAAATTGACTGAATTATACTGCATTATGAGCAGAGATTTCAAAAAGACAGACATACAAAAGGCAAAAAATGGGTGAAAAAGAAAAAAGGAAAACGGAGCGAGAGCTGAGTTCGCTATCTTTTAATGAAATAAAGAATTTATATGAGCACTTGTCTACTAAGCAACTTGATGACTTATATGATTTAATGTATGAAAGAATTGTTGGAAGAGAACTCTGCCATGAATAGTTTGATACAGATAATAGCAAGTCTGTCATTTATGATGGGAAAGTAGAAAAAGTCAATAAAAGAAAAGAAGACAGAATTTATACTATTTCCTTCTGGAAAAAAAATGAAACTGTTGACCATTACATGTAAAAATTCCAACTTGCTGCTGATATTGTATCAGGAGAGTTGATATTTTCTTAATTTAATATGCTTTAATGTTACATATTATTGTGCTTTAATGTTACTGTCTAATAGAAAAAGAAGTATTGCATGTGGTGTGACTTGCAAAAAGGTATTGAAAAAACAGATACTCTTTTGCATTTAATGTGGTGAGATAATTTTTAAAATTGTTTTTGTTGTTTTAAATAGCTTTTTTTTTTTTTTTTTTCATAATCGCAGTTTTTTCCTTTTGTTTTGAAACTTTTTTATGTTTTTTTGGATTACAAAGGAAAGAAGGGGGGGGGGGGGTGGCAGAACCCATTCATTGATTTGACATGTAGGCCACTTGTGTATGTTATAAAGTAGTATAATATAATTTTTGTTTTCAATACAAGGTAATTTTGTTGATGCAAAACAGATACAACAAGTGGTGACTTGCAATTAAAGTACCGCATATGGTGTGGCTAGCAAAAATATACCACAAGTGCAAAATAGTAATGGCAAATGGTGTGATTTGCCAAAAGGAAACCGCAAGTGGTGTGACTTGCATAGAAAATACCGCAGGTGGTGTGACTTGCAAATATGGTAATGCAAGTGGTATGACTTACAAAATAGGTACCACTAGTTGTGTTACTTACAGAAAAGGTACTGCAATTGGTATGATTTGCAATTTTTATGAAAGACGGCTCTGGATTACATTATTGTCAAGTCTATTATTAAAAATGATTGTTATTTAGTTTCATTGTGAAACTTAAACTTTTAATCATTCACTAAAAGCCAAGATGTAAGTTAGTATTTGTTGTAATTCAAAGTATTTTTATTTTTAAATATTTATTTTAGGTGGGAGGGGGGGGGGTATTCGAACGCTGATATAAAGAAAGAATGGCAACATCTTATAATGTGGTAAAATGATGCATCTTGTAATGTGGTAAAATATGTTTTTATAATAATTTTTATTATCTTATACAATAACATTTAAATATTTTTAATCGCATTACAAAAATTTAATTCTTATTTTAGGTTGGAGGGCGTTGTGGCACACACCCCTTCCCTTGATTCTAAATGTGCCCTACTAGTGTGAAGACGAAAAAAAATTTTAATTTTTTTTTTAAAAAATTTTGTATTCATTATTAGGCTTACTTTTTTTTAATAAAGATAAAAATATTTATTGAAATTTTTTTTTAGTTAATGGGTGTGTTAAACTGACACCCTTACACCCACCATAACACAATAATAAACTTCTCTTAATTTGGAATGGTCTGAAGCAAATTATAACTACTTCTTGCATATGAAAATTAAAAATTTCCAAAAAAATTACTCTTTTATTTATAAAAATTTGCATTTATTACCGGATAAGCTGTTGGTTCTGTTCCCCCTCTAGCCCCCCTGATACGCCCTTTGGCTAGCGACCAATATAATTTTGTAGCCTATTCTAATACCTATCTTTTGATATCAAGTTATAGGCATTTAGATAAGAATTGACAAGTTTATGATGTTTTTAGTCAAGAAAAATATTATTTTGACCACAGTTTCTTCAACAAATCTATATATCGAAAATTCGGTACTTAAAACGTTATAACTTTTCGTCAAATTGCTCGATTTTAGTAATTTTTTCACTTTAAGAATACTGTATTGAAGCTCTTTAAAATGATATATAACAATCTAATGTTTAATTAATTTAAAATTTTCATGCTACGTACCTAATAGAATAGTCCGATTTTCATAATTTTTTCACCTTTAAAATACTGATTTGAGGGCTTTCTTATGATATATAATATTATAGTATTTTATCAATTTAAAAAAATCAGTCCACGTACCTAATATATATATATATATATATATATATATATATATATATATATATATATATATATATATATATATATATATATATATATATATATATATATATATATATATATACATGCATACATACTTATACACGCACACATACATACATTGTGGAACATTGTTTAAGACAAAGTTTCACTGTAAACAATGTTAAACATTTTGTATCTCAAACAAATTACCTTTTAACATTCCTAAATTGTATTCTTTATCTTTCCATTGATTGACAGCACATATTTTCATTATCTTTAACTTAGTATATGTTATTATGTTTTGATTTTTTTATGATAAAACAATAACTTAACTGTATTTTTTTTTTTTTTTCTTTCATTTCTGCGCGGGCAAAAATTTCATATCGGGACTGCGACAAGGTGTATTTCATTACAGCCAAATTAAAAAAAGAATTGTTCACCTATTTAAAAATCAAGTTTAAAAGCCAACATGATCCTAGTTTGCAATGCATTATGGACGATTAAACTTCCGACGCGAAAAATATCTTTTCCATTGATACGAACTTTTAATGGATGCTTAGGGTGAGTTCTTTACCAAATTTTAAAATTTATTGCAATTAATTTCTTTAGAAGAACAAAAATAATGGCTGTAGCTGATAAGAAACCTCCGCCAAAAGAATACGACTATGATGATATTGTAATATCACTGGAAAATTGCATACTTCCTTCAGAAAAGATTGATGTTACTCCTTCAATGAAAGATGGTCTTGACCGTGATACAGAAACCGAGTTGCGAATGTTAGGATGTGAAATGATACAAATAGCTGGTTTATTGCTTAAATTGCCACAGGTTTCTTTATAAATTATTTGTAACTATTTTTATTTTTAATTTTAAACCTTTTTTGGTATCAAGATTCAAACTACCTTATTATATTACCATATATAATTTTAATTACTAGCTATATAATTTGTAATCTGTTTAACATTATGGTATAAATACAATTATATGAATCGCCGTTATAAAAAAGCATTTTTTTAATAACAATTAATATAACAATTTATATGCTTGAGTATGTGACATAAAATGTTTAAATTGATCAAATACTATATCATTAGGAAAAGCTTCATTGCGTTTCAATTTCAAAGGTGAAAATAGAAGGATTCTACCAAAAGTTATAACATTTTAAGTGTCATATTTTAATATATAGATTTCTTGAAGAAACGATGACCAAGTTTAGAGTTAACTTAACTTCTTAACTTTAATGTCATAACTTTGTCAGTTCTTATTACAACTCAGGAAAGTTCTCTAATTTGATGTTAAAGTGTCAAAAATGTTAATATTCATTATCTATTATTTTTTTTGAAAATTTTTTTGAGAGATCTTGACTGAAACTTTGGCAAATAATAGGTATTACCTATATTTGGACTCATAGCACCAGAAAAAGTTTTAGCCTTTTAGTAGAAGGCATTCAAAAGGATTTAGAAGTTAATAGCAATAAAACTGGGTGATAGCAATAAGTTAATAGCCTTTTAGTAGAAGACATTCAAAAGGATTTAGAAGTTAATAGCAATAAAACTGGGTGAATCTATTTTGTAGAGACATTGCTGTTACTTATTTCCTTAATAAATGTGTGCAATTAGGAAGGCTAAGTTCAATTGTGGAAATTAGCAAGTCACTTTTTTCAAAAAGAAACTATAGCTGAGGTACAATTGTAGAAGATTGATGGATTTTAGGTGTGTACAATATAGCAACTATAGGGTTACTTATTCCTGTTGTGCACCAAGATACAGCAACTTTATTACCCATCATTATTCAATGGATTTGTTCTGGATTAAAATATGGAGCAATGTGTGGGCAGCATATCAAGGTTTAACAGCGCAAGGTTTTTAACATGGTACTGTAAACCATACTCTACATTTTGTTAATCCTGTAACAAATGCGACAGCAAGCAGGGTTGAGGCAATGTGGTAAAGAAGGAAAGCTATATATGGGCCAACCACTTGTGATATTATACTGGATTATTAGTCAAAGTTTATGTGGGCGCAATGTTTCAAAGAACACTTATTTTGTTACTTTTGAAACCAAGTTGTAGATAAATATTCCGTTTGTATATAGTAACATTTGTATCTTATTTTGATGGTTCTTCTTTCCTAGTCTAATACTAAATGTTTTTTAGGATTTTCTTAAGTTTCAAATAATGTTTTGATTCGATTGATTTTAAATAAAAACTTTTTCCATAAAAAAGTTTTAACAGGAATTCTATTGGGGAGCGTGTGCAAATTAAGTTCTCATTTAAAATGTTGTTCTCTATTGTAGGTAATGCTTTGTTTTAACAAGAAATAACTAAATATTACTTGAATTCTTAATAAAATAAGTTTTTTTAAATAGAAAATTAACTTTTCTTAAGATTTTGGGTTTTTAGTACTAGTTTCTTATAAAACAGTTTCTTATAAAAATAAATGTGTTTCAAACAAAGAAAATACAAAACAAAGTGCTCCATAAAAGTGGCTCTTTAGTAGAATAAAAACTGGTCTATAAAGTTTTTTTAATGTTTAATTTCATAACCGTGTAATTATTGTAATTATTATGTTTGAAAAAAGATTATATTATTAGGGTTTTTGATATATTCTTTTGACGTTTCAGCATCAAATTAGAGAACTTTGCTTTGGTTTTCAGATCTATGTTTTTGTATGAATTTTGATCAGCATAACATACTCTATTATAATCAGTAATTAAAATAGAGGATAGAGATGTAAATTAGCGCTAAAAGATTTATGTAAGGCGTCAAAAAGGCATCTATAACATCCATATATATTTAAAATCTAGGTTAATTTTTAAAAGAAAATGAATTTGTTTTAATACTTTATATTTTTTTATATATACTATTCAGTAATATTTTATATTATAATATACATTTACAACCCTCGGAATTAGGGCCGGCATTCAGCAATGCCGACCTAACTGCTGACCTGAAAGTGTTTGAGGTCAAATGGTTTTTGCAGAAGTCCGGATATATTAGATAAAAATACCAGCATTCCTTCAATATATAACTATGCAGGCCTTGATTTAAATGAAAAATTGCTTAATGCATTAGCTTAACACGATATTTGACGTCATAAGATTATCTTTATTTATTTTTTATATAGACATTAAGTGTTTTAACTATTGTAATAATTTATTATGTTTTAATTATTATTCTAATATTAATTTTAGTTCAATATTATTAAGTTATATATATATATATATATATATATATATATATATATATATATATATATATATATATATATATATATATATTTCATTATTTCTGAAATTTGGTGTTGAATAATTGTTATTGAATATTTTATATATATTAATATATTTAATCGTTATTGAATAAAAAGATATTAACATATTGATAAACACAAACCCTTGTTAATTATTTAAGCAGCGATTTTGTTTTGACTAGCAATTTAATTTAGAGTAATGAAATAAAAAGGAGAATAAATATGAGGTAATCTTTTTAAAAAAAATTTCAATTTATTTAATGAGCAATATTTATTTTTATTTGTATACCAACTTGAATAAAATATACTAACATGTTAAAATATTTTAACATAACTCGTGCCATTTACAGCGCTTAAAATAGTTTTTCAAAGCTTACTAATCAAATGTAATTTTTTCACAAAAACAGGTTATTTTCCCTTGCAGTTTTTGAAATCACACAAATTGCATATATTTTAATAACATATGTCTTCTCTTTTTCTGATATGGTTTCAATTCGAAAACCATTGGCAAAGTCCCAGGATTTAAAAGTTTTCAAAGTAACTCTTTTGTTCTTCAAAATACAATCAATATTCAAACTTTAAACAATTTGGAGAGAATAGAAATATACTAGGTTTTTATATATTAGTTTGTCTTATTTTATATAGAAAAATACATAGTTATTAGTAAAGAATAAAGACTGTCATTAAACTAAAATGTGCCTTAGTATTAATTTATCAGACTCTGTAACATTCGCATGCATAATGAAACTTCTGTTATATAAATATATTTAACGTAATATTATGTTATATAATTGTTGGATGTTATAGTCTACTCTTGATTTCTTTAACTTTATAATATTAATTGATTTGTGAAAAAATATTTATTGAATCGCAAGCAGAAGAAATTTAATAAAAGCAAATAGTGATAACTAATGAAGGAGTAATTTTTAGTGCAATAAAAATAAATTTTTCATATATTGGCATATGTTTTTTATTATCTCAAAAAAGTGTTATAATATTTTTGTTATCAGAAATTATAGAATATAAATGTTTTTTATGATAAAGAGTTTTTAACTGAATTTTTATTAAAACCATCAAACAAAAACATGTAAAAAAATTTTAGTTTAGGATTGACGAACTTTTTTCATGTTGCCTAATATTTACCGTAAAATTATGTTGAATATAATTGTTATAAAAAGATAAGAAATATCATCGCAATAAAAAGTTACAACAATTTTGTAACTTTTTAATTAACTTCTTTCAAACTTTTGTATTAAAAATTTTTACATATCGTTATTTGTAAGTTAATGTGGTTTTTTAAAAAAATTAGTTACTTTCATTCATCATACTGCTAATTTTAAAGTTAAAAAATAATAAAAAGTAGTCTAACCAAAATCACTAACTGCGTACATATAAATCACTAAAGGTGTACATATAAATAGCTCTATGAATAACGCTTTAAAACAAGACCTGCTATGCACAAACAACAAAGAAGTTTTAGACAATAAAAAAATTTTCAAAAAATATTCCCATGCAGAATTAAAGTTAAACTATTTTAGTACTCAAAAAATCTATGTTGATACAAATTTTAAAAATGACAACACAGCAAAACTTGTTCATATCATGTCACTCAAACATAGACTGAAAAAAGTGTGGCACAAAATTTAGACAAATAGAATGTTCTGTTAAGGTCATTCTATTTGTCTGTTTACATGTACCTAATTTACTCTTGTTGCTCTTGATGGTTTTCTTATTTTGAGTATTTATTGTTATAAAATTTATTGATATAAATACTAAATGAACTAGGACTTTTTCCTTATAAATAAATAGTAACTAGCTTATTCTAATTCCCTGTGAATTAAAGTAAGCAACGGCCTTGTTTATCAAGATTTGTGTTATGGAGTTGTTGAGTTAAGAGTAGGTTGTAACCACTATTTCTGTAGCTGTCGTGGCTTTCTTGGTCTTAGGGATGTGAATTAACATTAAAAAAATATGTTCAGATAATATTAAAAACAAAAAAAAATTTAATTTATTTTAATTTTATTTTAAAATATTACTAAATATTGTTTTATAGTAAAGTTTAACTTTTTTTTCTCAGAAACATTTGCTCATTTATTTTTCTTAATTTTTATTTTTAATTTTTAATTTATTTTTTTTTCAACTAAAAAGTTTAAATTCCTTGTAAAGATGTTCTAAGACTTTTTTTTAATGTATATTTTTTAAAAATTTAAAGCTTTATAAAGCAAGCAAAAGCGCATCAATGTATATTTTTTTAATAAATGGTACTTGGAAGCCTAAAATAATCTTTGCTTTCACAACAAGATTGCTGGCAAAGTAATCAAGTAGTTTTTATTTTTGCAACAATTTATCTTTGCAAAACAGTCTATAATACATTTACATAAGATTTTTTAAATTTCATTTTGCAGTAATTTATTATATTGCATTAGTTTAACGTAATGTCCTTTAAAAACGCCTAGAGGTTCAACATTGGTCAACAAGGACATTTAGTCCTTTAAAAAGTTAGCATTTTTTGACATCAAATTCACATAAAGCTAAAGTGTTTAGCATTTTTTATTTAAAACAAGGCCTTTAGTTTTGATTTTCTTCTCTTAATGTGTTTTCTAGATATGTGTTAGTTTTCATAAGATGATTTTATTTTTAAGTAAGCTCTAGAATTTAATTTAAAAATTTGCTTATTGTTTATATTGAATAATTTAGGTTGCTATGGCAACAGGGCAAGTTATTTTGCAACGATTCTATTATTCCAAATCTCTTATAAAACATGAAATAGATGTAAGTAACCAGTTTTGTATTGTGAAGTAAATATAGTTTTTCATTTAATCAGATGTTATATCAAATTATTTTAGGTCACCACAATGGCTGCTGTATACTTAGCAGCAAAGATAGAAGAAGCTCCTAGGAGAATTAGAGATATAATAAATGTTTGCTATCATATTAGGCAAAGAAAATTAAAAAAGTGAGTTTTTTTTTTTTTAAATAGTCAATTAATTGAGGCCTGAAAATTTTAAAAACATTGTTAAATTTTTCATAATTAGTTATAATTGTTTGCTGAATTGCAATAACTTTTCATTTAAAAGTTGCCAACGTGGTGGCTCCAGATATTCAGAAGTTAAGTTTTGAAAACTAAAATGACTTAGTTTTAAAAATCGAATTTAAGATTATTCAGCACATATATTTGGTATGAGTTGGTTCCTGTATCAAAGAACTTTGTGGTATATTACAGTATTTTTGCTAGATGAAAGGTATGCCTGGATGTGAGTAACCTATGCTCGTCGTCAATTTCTTAAAATTTAAAGCTAATTTTTAATGCGGAAAAGTGAATTTTAATTAGATATAATTTCTCAAATTGAAGTGTTATGTTTTAATTTTTTTTTTTCTCACTAAAATAGCTCAATTTAACTAGTGTGCTAACAAAACTAACTTAAGTTGTTATTATAATTTTAAAATTAAATCATTAAAAGAAAATGCTTTTTAGTTTTGATGCCTGAGCTTTTATTTTTTTGAATTTTGTTTTTACATTCAATAAAAAAAAAATTTTAATTGCTTATGACAATGGTGGAACATACAGATTATATAGTAAAACACTAAGTTATAGATTTTTAAAGTTTTTTAAATTTATATAAAATAAAGCAAGTTAATAAATGACAACCATTTAACTTAAATGCTTAAGATTATAGGGAAATTATTCTTTAAATAATTTTTTTAATTATATTGCTATAAGTGATCGATGTGTAAAAAAATACCTGGTCTTCAAATATTATAGTTAGTGCAAAACCATGTTCCTTGTTTTCATATTGTTTTGTTCAAACAATGCCTAATCAAGGTATTTAAAAAAAAAAAATGATTTCAATAAATAACCTTAAATTTTAATTAAAATAATAATGCATCTTGAAGAGATAAAATGGATATTTAAATAATATTAAAAAAAAAAATTAAGGAACTTAAACAAATACTTATAAATAAATAAGAAATGTTAAACTATATAATAAAAGTGCCTATTTGTAAAAGTTCTTGAAATTTTTAATATTATTTATATATATATATATTTTTTTTAGCCATGTAAATATATACATGCCCTAAGTTAATAACAAGTGCAAGAAAAAGACTTATATATCTTATCGCCGAGCCCCCTTGATAAATTCCATAAATATAAAGTTTATTTTAAAAATAAGAAATTTTTTAAACTATATTTAAAAAAAAAATGTAATTATAGTGAAATAATAAGTAAACCATCTATTATTGAAAAATAGCAAGAAGCGTTATTGACTTCTTGCTATTTTTTAATAGATGTTGAATTTACTATTTTACAGCAAAAAAATATTTTAAATATCTATTCTAAAAACATGGAAATATTTAATTTTTATTTATTGAAAAGTCATGAATATAAAATGTTTTTTTTTTTTTTTTTTTTTAATATCAAACTTCAGAACACAAAACAAGTCTAAGGATCAAAAATAAGAATAATAACAACACATATCAGACATAAATTTAAAAAGTTACATTTAATTCAATCATTTCTATTATTATTATGTTTTATTTATGTGATTGATCAATCATAAAAGTAAATAGCAATTTCAGAAATACTTTTGTGATATATCATTCTTTAGTACATAACCATTCTATTTTTTCTAGATTCCTTTTTTACTTTAATTAAAATTTGGGATTACTTGTGTTGTTTGAACAAACAATGAACAATTAAAGTAATAAGTGCGTTATAAAAGTAATGACACTATTATATTATTACTTTTATAATGCAGTTAGAGACAAGTGTTATTGCTTATCACTATTTAGTGTTTTTATAATCGCTAACAAATCTAAGTTAACTCTTTTTATAAAGACTAAGTATAAAGTTTTGCATAAACTAAAATTTTGAAGACCAGAATTTTTCCTAGAGACTGAATTTTGCAATTGCTTAATTCAATTCTAGTTTTGCTTATCTTTATAGCATACAGCTTCTTCAGAAATATAGGAAAAAACAAAGAATAATGAAAGAAAGATTGCTGCCCCAAGTCCTCAGTTAATGTAGTGGCACTTGTTTAAAGTTGCAGGCTGTAATTGAGTAGATGTATGTACTGAAGCCTCTGGCAGCTGGCTATTTTGATATGTCTAACAGCTTATCTAAACACACATATATAGTTGTGTGTATATTTATTTATATATACAGCCTTGATCCGGTATGCGTGCGATCGCACCTTATTATATGAACACACAAACAACAATTTATTTGATTACTTGATCAACTGTTAATATGTTTAAAATTTGAACATTTCAAAGATAAACCAAAAAAACTTTTCTAGACTTAACAAAGTAAAAACTTTTTAAAAAATCTTTATTTCAAAAAAAAAATCTTAAGAAAAGAGAAAATAAAATGAACTTGACTAAACACAAAAATTAACAATATAATACCCTATTCACACCGACAGTAAAACAAGTTTTAACAGTATTACTTTAAACATGTTATATTTTATTCACATTAAATTTAGAATAGGATTTCACATTAAATTTCACACAGAAAATGCAAAAAGCTATTTTAATAAAACAATCTTTCAATTTCATTTTAATAGGACACTATTAAGACGCAGTTTATTTAAGTTTAGATTTGGGGGTGTGAATGAGGGTATAAATCAGCTTTAAAAAAATAAAACTCAAAAAACTAAAATGCTAAGATAATTTAAATCATACATTTTAAGTTAGGTTTGGATTAAAAAAGTTTGAATTCTTGCAAAAAATTTCATTAAAGAGACTATTTTTTTATTATGTAATTATTTGTATAAAGAAAATTCTTTATTTAAAAATTCATTAGCAATGGTCTGTTACTTAATTTAAAAGTGTTTCAAAATGTGGAAAATAGAAAAAAAAGACTTTCAAAAAATTTGTTGTTGTTGGGTTTTTTTCAACTAAATTTACTGTTTTAAGTGTATTAATTTCAATGATTCATTTATAAAGTTCATTAAAGAGACTATAGTTGTCTAAAAAAAGTCATCATTTAGAAACTTGAAATAAACTTTTTTTTTTTTAATAAAAAAAAAAAGATTTTTGTTATAAAAATGATTTAGACGTCAGAAAATGATGTTAGAATAAGACAATTTTTGTGTTTTTGCTTAAACTAAGTTTTTTTTTTTTCTCTTGCGTTAAGATTTTTTTTCTTTTTACAAATTTTTGTTTTTTAAATAAGTTTAAGTAAGTTTTTTTAGCGCATTAAATTTTACAAATATGTCAAAAGCCGTGGTCAAATTGTTAAAACATTTTTTGTGTGGTCATATAAAGGTGTGCAATAGTACGCCTTCCTGTGAAAGCCTGTATATAATATTAAAAAAGTTATAAGCAACTTTCATTGATACTTGATTTCATTTAACTTTAAAGATTCTTAGGAGCATTGCTTTGAATCATAGTTAATAGGTTAATTAGGTTACGTAAAGTGTACAAATGTATTTTTGCAATAATTTTCGCATTCTTTTTCACAACCTCATTGTATAATATTACAATGTTGCATGGGGTCATTAAAACGCAATAATTAAAACATTTTGTAAAATTAATATTTTATGACCATTTAATTAAAGTGATAGAAAAAAAATCCTACAGTAATATTTCACTTGAATGATACTAATTTTTTCTAACATAATGAGGTATTAAAATAATGAAATAATAATTAAGAAAAAAATTGTAATATATTTACAATCAGACATTGTAGCATTTGAAGTTTCTATTTGACGTAAAAATGATGTTAAAGTTTGACATTTAAAAAAAAAAAATTAAGTTTTGTTAAAATGTTTTACTGATGTTATTGTTCGTAATAATAAACTGATAATATTATTAGTTAAATTTTATTAATACTAATATATATTGATATTAATAAAATTAATAAACATAAAATTTTATATTATTTTTTTAATTAAAAGTTTAATTATATTTAGTTTTGGACAAGTTAAATGTAGAAAAATAGTAAATATTTCAAATAATACAAACTAAATTTATTTTAATGTTATCAAACCTCCTTCTTTCGCCAAAACTTTTTAAATCAGCGCACATGAGCTATTTTAGATTAACATTATTCCATAACTGTTATTTGGAGCATAAGTTATTTACTGTAAGACTTAAGTTTTCAAAAAGAAAAGAAAAGGTGATAATTTGAAGGCATTAAGTATTTTTTTATTTACAAAGTTCAATGTGTGTTATGAATCAAAATTTGAAACCTTTTTTTATTTGACTGGTTAATAAAAACAGTTGATCGTCAATTCTTTGATACCCGGTGAAATTGACTATTTTTAACTTTTTATATTTTCTACCGCTTATCTTCGGTTTTTTTTTTTTTATGTTTGTGCGCTGTATATTTTATGCATTATCTGTTGACTTAAGATAATAACATTATACAAATTATTTAATACCAATTATTCTAAATAGTTTATACTAAAATTCGGTTGCCACCCAAATTTATTAAATTTACCCTTGAGATATACTAGCATCTCAATATTACAAATTCTGAGGTCAGTTTTTTTTTTGTTAACAATGTTTCCAGTACTAGAAAATACTCAGATGAAGAAGATGCTGCAGGAGTAACTAATACCCTTTTTGCAAGTTTTTAAAGTTAAAAAAAAATGCTTTAAATCAATCCTCAAGTATATCAGTATTTGGCAGGGTAAGGTAACTTTTTTAGATACACTTTTGTTTCATAATAAGCCATAAGCTCCATTTAACGATCTGTGTCCTGAGAGAGGTTTATTTAAGTGAATTCTATATCAATCTTTTAGGGTATTAAACAGAGGTTGTTTTTCTCTCTTGAATTTTATTCTAATTTTTTAAATTATATCATTGCAGGGATTATCTTTTTCTGGGTTTCCAAAATGTTTCAGATATTTCTTTCAAAGTTTCAGTTTTTCCAGATTTCCAAAAAGTTTTCCATAAATACAAATTTAAGTATATTTTTGAACTATATTTGTTTTTTAGTCATTACCAAAC